TTTCATCACTATCATCTTTGGCATCTCTTAGTACTTTACGAGAAGAGATTCACTTTTTCATTCCCCTAATAATTCAATTCTTCCTCTCCTCATTTGATTCTTGCAGGTATGCCTGACAATGCAAAGGATTATAATGTAAGTAGGTCAGAGGAGGAGGAGGAGATATAGATTGGTCCGTGGATGTAGGGGCATTCATGTTTGTGAGTCTTTAGCCCTATTTGATATGCGACGAAGGAATTAGAATTGGAAATGAATTTTTGGATAAAATGTTTGGTACATTTGAATCTTGATTTTCAAGAATCTAGATTCAAGAAAATTTTTTTGAATTGGATTTCATCAAAGTGATGATAGAATTAGTATAATTTCTTCAAATGATTTTCATTTTACCATTTTGCCTTTCATCTCACCTCGAGCTCTAACCTTGGAAAATGACATCTGGGTCTTTCCTTATTTAAAATACATAGACTAATTAACATTATGTTTGAATTTCATTTTCACATCAAATCAAATATTATTTTAAAATCCAATTTTATCCTTGTTCATATTTTAATTCCTATTTCAAGTTTATTCAAAACTTTTCTATCATACCAAACAAAATTTTTGGGAAAGGATTTTGAAGTTTGATATTTTTTGTGAATTTAATTTAGGGTGAACTATGAATGAACCACAAGAACTATTCAAAAATCTATAGCTTGTATTAAAGATATACCAGCAATGTGTGACATAGAATTAGATGAAAAAAATGAAGATAAGTAACTAGGAGAACAGGCATATTAGTCATGGTAAATTAACCCTTCCCCTCCCAATTCCCCAATTTAGGGGGAAACTCTCTCCTCTATTTTTCCTCACGGAACAGCAGCAAATTTTCTCTCCTCTCCTCTCCTTCCCCTACCTCTGAACCAAACAAATCCTTAACCTTGACTCGTGAGAAGTTTGAATTATCTATCAACTCGAGGCAAAGGGGATGGAATGGGGTGAGAGCAGTTTTTCAGGCTCAAATCCTTCAATTGTTTGCTTCATCTCTTCCCAATCAGGTGGATGGCTTTCTTAAGTTATATTATCATTATTCTATATTCAATTCAACGTGTAAATATATTTTTTAAAATTTATGCTTTGGCTGGGATTTGACTAGCATTTTTTTCTCTTAGAAGTTTCGACCGGCTGTACAAGAACCGTCAATGATTTCATCTCACGGCATTTAGTACTATTTTGTCCCCGTTTTAACGGATGAATTAGTTCGTCCCCCTAGATCACCATCTCAATGGCCAACAGATTCTCCCCTTCAACTAAAAGTCCCATATCCTTTTTTTTTTAAACCTGCTTCAACTGAAATCTCTTAAACATTGGGACCCAAGCAAGTAGTACCGGTCAAATTAATGCCCCATCTTCTTTATGGGGCCAAGTAGGATCCATTTGCAAGGCTTGTAGTCGTCCAATGGAAGTTTGCCATGTCTAAGCCAAATTGAAGGGCATCGGCACCCGCAAATAAGGGAACTTAGTTTCTCTATATTTTTTTTTCTCTCCTCTCCTCTTCTCAACTGTTAAATTTATTTTTAAATGATTAAAATTTAATATTTAATAAAATTATTATTAAAATGTAAAATTTTATAAAAAATAAATATAATAATAATTTTATAAAATATTAAATCTTAATCGTTCATGAATGAATCTAACAGCTGAAGTGGAGAGAAAAAAACAAATGGAGAGAAGCTGGGTGGACGGCTGTTCCGTTGGCTATTGCCTTCATCTGGCACACTCCTACTGGCAAAATACGCACTTATCGTCTGCACACTTCGTCACGGATGACATCCCACACTCTGCGATCATGCAATGCATCATGTCTGAGCATTCCCGTCCTTAACAAATTCCTCAAACTCAACCTCTCTATCGGATAGATCTCAAGACATTCCCGCAATGTTCATTAGGTCTCTGTCACCATTGATCGTGAGCCAGTCAGGTTATGTACTGTTACGATCCTGGTTTAAGTTTACATCTCAGTTGTTGATGAGGAACAATGAATATAGAACAGGTTGGAACAATGAACTCACATGCCCTCTACTTTCTAACTATAAGACGAAGATTAAACGACGCGCTGTAATTGCATTTGCCTTGTTTGATTGGAATAGGCTGTACTCTGGAGTCTGGAAATATGAGAATCCCTCTGTTTTACGTTTTGGTTTTTCACTTTCATTTGGATAGAAAGAGCATAGAAACGGTCATGTGATATTCATTTTCTGTTCTGTCAATTTTATTTTTGTGCGCTCATTGGCAAGCAATTTGTTTGGTTATGAGGAAAAGCTTAATGCTTCTCAATGTCGTAAAAGTGAATGGCTACTATTGAAAGAAAGAATTGTCTGATCGGCAACGATGTTGCAGAGGAAAGGCAAATGGGCGATTGATGACTCCATTTAATTTCTAAAAATCGTCATTCAATAATCTCAAAAATATTAACCCTGCAAATTCGCCGCTGCATAGCTTTTGCCCATTTTTAATCTTTGTCAGAATTTAAAGACAGGAAATTTTTGTTCAGGTATATAGCATTATTGTTTACATGTTCAGGAAAAGAGTGGGAACGGAAGGAAATTGCTTGAATTTTTTTTTTTACTTAAATACTATTGTAATACAATATGGAAAGGTTGTGCCGTATCTTTTTATTTCTCATTTTATCTCTCATGAATCAATGCACTGGTGAACTTTTCTTACCCTATTAAATGATACACTATTGTTGACTCTAGGTATAAAATTTCGTTTGCTTCCTGCTTTATTCTTTAAATGTTTGCTTGTATCACTCTAAAGTTTTGTTAAAGGCATTTATCTTGGGGGTGTTTTGTTCTGGACTTCTACGTGGACAAATTTGCCACCTAGATTAACTGTTAATGGTCAAATAATTTAAGGTGTCATTATAATCTGTGATGAAGCGTGTTTGGACTAGCTACCCATAATGTATTTTTCTCTTTATTTTTCATGACAAAATATTGTATGATTATTTTTTCTGATTTGTAATAACATGCGTATTGATTATAGTTTTCTACATGTGTTACAGGTGCAGTGTCATCCCCCCATTTTGCTTCTTTGAAACTCTTCAGAAAAGGTTTTCTTTTAATATTTCTTTTGGGCTGCAGACTTGGCACAATCGGGAATTTTGAATGGAAAACATTTTGAATGATGGTGACATGGCACATGACAATTCTTCTGGAATTGAGTCCAAGCGTCCTCATACTGGTTCGTGGATGGCCCTGTACTGGATATGTTTGTCAGAAAGGAACGGGAGATGAGATTTTAAGCAGCATATCTCCAGATGTTGATTAGTTGAACGTGGGAAGAGAAGATAGCTTGGATCCCTCCGGTAGCAATCCGTAATTTGGTTTTTCTATATCCCATACATTAGAAAATCCTCTTTCTGTTCTTAACTGTGGTTGAATTAGGAAAGTTAAGTTAGCAAGGTGAAGGAATATGATGATATCGTGTCTATTTCTACCAGCAATGCCAATGGTAGGTAACATATGCGGGGAAGGTAGAAATTCTCTATTAACGAGCCTCAATTTTGATAGGGGATGGAGATGTAGTGTCTGTGCCTACAAGTGGTGCCAATGATAAGTATGTTAATCAAACTTTGTCAAGTTGCTTCTATATAAGAAGAAAGGGAAGGAGTTTCATATGAACAATGATTCTCATCTATGACAAAGTGGATCTCAATATCATCTCCATGGGCGATTTCTGTGGCAGAGAAGATAGTAAATGAACCTATTTATAATAAGGGAGATGACAGCTTATCTTTGGGTCAAGCATACAAAGAGATCTGCAAATACCACATCAATGTATCAGGAATTTAGCAAGGAGGATGGAAATATGATATCTGCTCCTTATAAAATTATGACAATTCTATGCCAAGAGATCACATATTTCGTAAGGGATTAGGACTTATAGCACCATATCAATGGGTTACACCCATCACAAGGGGCAATCACATGTGTTTGTTTACTTATTCTTGTGAAAAGAGATGCCAAATAAATATCTTTCGGCAGATGTGTCATTTTCTGCTGAAGTCAGGAGAGATACCAATATAATAATTTTGCAGAATATATTATTTTATTTTACTCATACAATAACTCATGTTGTGATTGTTTCTGTTGATACAATTATTTTGTTTGTGCACTAATGTCTCTATAATACTTCTAACGTTCTCCAGAAAACTTTTTAGCTGAATGAGCTTTCAGATGTGGACAAGATCAAATGAAGCAACTGTCGTAAAGGAGCATTATTTGAGTTGAAAGGTGGTAACTTCAGTTTTAGTGCATTAGTGTTCTTTTGGACATGCATTTTGCTGACTAATAATCATAAACTCAGTGCTAATCTTTTTCCAACGTGAGATTAGTCACCTTACGAAAACAATGTCAAATTTACTATTCATTGTTTGCATCTTAACATCATGTGGGCACTAAATTTCTTGAAGGTAAACTGAATTCGATGCAGTTCTTGTTGATGGAACAAAATATTTGGTACATGTTTTCTTGTTTTTCATGTGGTTAATTCTATTGTTTTCTAGAAGGATGATTTTTGGTCTTTGCTCTCTCTGTACGGTTACCAGAGAGTGACCCACATATGACTGTGCAGTTAAAAGAAGATTTATAGAGGATAATGGAGAAAAATGTGGAAAGCAGAGCGAAAACATTAGATTTTTTTTTTTTTTTTACTTTGTCTTTAACCTCATGATTTTAGCGTTTTATGTAACAAGTGTTTGAATTAGATAGGGATATTGTTGGAACTATTGGGACCCAAATTTGAAGATTGAAATTTGCCTCTCTATTTTCTTCATTGGTAGAAGAGATGTTTCCTTTAGCTAATTAGTGTTATTAATGCCAGCTGCATTCAGCCGTCCAATACGTGCCAGCATTGCCTTGTTATTCAATGAATTAGAGTCAATTAACGTTTAGGTTAAAAGGAAAATGGATCTCCCTTCTTGATACATTTGAGAACTTTACGGCATCATACGAAAGGAATCAACTGGAAATCGTCTTGAACCTTGGATTTTTCATGGTGCTGCAGGTTAATACTTGACATTTAACTTTGCAGCAATCTAATGTATAGACGCAAAGTTAGACTCTTTTCTTTTGTGGGTTATCTTCTGCCTTATTGAGTTTCTAACTGTTACATTGAAAACCTCTAATAACGTACATCACAATTGAAGGATCAAGCAAGTAGCTAACTATACTTCTGCTTTTGTTTCATTGAGAATGGGCCTGCATTATGGCTGGATTGCTCCTGGGTAACTGAAACTTTGATGATTACTAGTCTGACTTCCTCATACTTGTTCCTCTCTAGTCCTGATTGCTGCTTCAAAATTGATGATAGTGATGACCTCATGTTTGGAGTGCTCAGTTCGGGCATTTCCCTCACCTGAGCTGAACTTGTCTGGCAGTATGTGCTCCTTGGGGATTGGGGTTAGTGAATCGTAATCTTTGCTTTTACCCCACACCACAAGGTACAAACCCGAAACAATGACAATGGCACCGATCACCCTGGAAAATTTCAGATTTTTTATTTTTAGGTTTTTTACTTTTAGAGATTTGTGGATTTCGAGTTCTAATAGGTGAGTTGTGTGATTGGCACTTGATTTTCATAATTACCTTCCAAGGTACAATTGCTCAGCTAGAATGATGGAGCCCATGATAGCGACAATTACCATGCAGAGGGGGCTAAACGCAGTAACAAATACTGGGCCTCTAGTTTTCATCACAACCCCTTGGATGTAATAAGCCATTCCTGAGCAGACAATGCCCTGCATGCAAATTATTTTCGAAATTTTTAGAGGAAAATAGTTAATCATTAACTATATTTCAGCAATCCTTTTCAAATACTCCCTCTAAACTACAGTAGAATGCATCTTCTAGAAACCTTACCTGGTCTAAAATAGAGGGCATTGGATAATTTTTCTTACTTCATTTATTATTCTTTTTGAAAAAATCATGTATTAAAATTTTAATTACTATTATCAATACTTTTATATAGGATATTTAATAAGGATATAAATGAAAAGATGTGGATATTTTAAAAATTTAAGGTTTCAACTAACATTATTCATAAATAGTGAACTAGTTAACTATGACTTATATTGTGGTCCGACGGGAGTATTTGTTTAGTTACAAAGCTTTTTAGTCAAGGCATTTAAGCCATAGCCTTGTTACTCAAGAGATCATGACCCTAGTAGGTGGGTGATGATAATCTTATTGCAGTTAAGCGGTCTTGCTAAGTTAACAATTCACACACACACCAAGTTAATATTATTGTCTGGCAGTTTTTATATGGTTTATGAATGATAATGATGATCTAGTGGCTAAGCTTCTGCAGTGACACCTCTTATTAGTTCTCTCTCTCTCTCTCTGTTTTTTTTTTTTTTTGGTTCATTAGCCTTGGAAAGTCATTGAGTAGACATCCACCAATTATTGAGGAGGATCTCTATCGGACGCCGATTCGGTTTGGCAACTTTTGACTTCTTACCTATAGTGAGAGGTAAGTGTGTGCTGGATTGGGTGTTCAACGTAATGCATAGTGTTTTGTATTATGTTCTACATCACATGTTCCTCTTCTAAGTTGGTTAGATGGCCTTACACTATAGACAGCAGCCAGCAGTTTTGTGTCCCAATTTAAAGACCAAATCGAAGGGTTGCCCCTTTCCATAACCAGGGCAGCCACGGCACCTTCAACTGATCCTAGCAGGCATATCCATGCTGTAAGAGAGAGCTCAGCTGGGTAAGTTTCAAGAGTAATTGCCTAGAAAAACAGAGATGAAGCTGTGTCAGTAAACCCAACAAAAACCCAACAAATTAAAGGAAAGGTTGTGGTGGGGATTTTTGTTTTTGTTTTTTGGAAAAACACTATTTTTTATCTCTACACTTTGCTTGAGTTTTACTATTCTGCACTATTTAAGTGTTTCAGGTCCCTATACTTTTTTTCATCTACAACGTTAGTCCCTATAATTTTAGAGAGACGATGTTATTGGACACGTCAGCAATCTTAACACCGTTTGTGTCATGTCAATGTCCCGTTGAAATTATAGGGACCAACGTTGTAGATAGAGAAAAGTATAAGGACTTAGAACACGCAAAAAAAAAGTATAAAGATCTATGACAAAACCTGAGCAAAATATAGAGACCAAAAGCATTGTTTTTCCTTTTTCCCCCCATTAATTAGGATGGAGAGTAACTCACTTGGAGGATCATGAAACAAGCCCAGCTAAAGCAGCCTATTGTGATCATGATTGATCCCTTTATTGCGTGTTGAAGATTTGCCCTGCCGGTATAGTGGCTGTTGCTGCTATTTCCATGTGTTCCAAATAACTCAAGCACCGGACCTTTCATCAATGTCATGACCATGGCTCCAGCAACAGTTGCTAGAGTACCAAACACCTTGGCTTGGCTGCGTATGCTTCTTATTTTCAACTTCTCAAGCCTAGGCAGGGCATAGAATTTGATTGAATGGAGGAGTCAAACACTCACACAGGGTACAATACGGACTATCTGATTAACTTTGCTACCAAATTTCTGAAAATCGCTACAAAGGGGTGGAAACTAATTTTACTCACCTAAGAATGCAGGCCATGATGAAGGTGATGGCGGGAAGGATATTAGTCATTGCGGCGGCAAACGTTGCCGTTGTATATTTCATTCCCAGAAAGTACAAATTTTGGTCAATAACTGGCCTGCCAGTAAGAAGTGATATAAGAGAGTCAGATTTATTGTTTTTCATAGATTTGAGTATGTGTATAGCTAGGAAGGAGTATTACTCTAGCACACTGAGCGCCACTATCTTCATGAAGATTGAAAATGTCATCTTTGGCCTAACTTTCCTGTGAAAAGAAATATAGTATGACTTCAGTTTCAGTTCAGGCATGCACATACAAACTGAGAGATGCTCATGCACGCACACACAAAAGGAGAGAGACAGAGAAAGAAAGAGACTTGTCCAGGATCACTGCAAAAGGCACGATGACAAAAAAGGCGACAACATGACGGTAGACGACAAGCACGTAATTGCTCATCCCCTTGTTCAATGCAGCCTTGGATAGAACATCCATGCCTGCAAACCCAGTCTGCAAGAATACTACAGCCATGAATGGCTTCATTCTTTCAAACCAACTGGGTTTCTGGTTCTCCATCACGTTGGAGCTCTAACCTTAACCTTTTTCTTGAGCCACAAGAATGCTACTAACTTACAGGGCACATGCTTATATAGTGGGCTGACGTATGAACCGTCTTAGACTCCTAGTGCTTTCAGAATCAGAAGTATTGGATACGTACATTATGATTATGAAGCTCTGGTATATCACGCAACCAAATAGGCTGGTTAAAGTCATGATAGTGATCAGGTACCCATCCACAGATTTTTAAAGGTCAGTGCCTGCTTTTAATTATTACTGTGCTTTTTGCATAGTTGAATGTTACTAGTGATGGTATAGCTTTCATGCATTGGCTACTTGTCTCAGATTCTTTAGGGATTTGTTTTGTTGGTCTTCGAATGCTTTTGCAGGTTAAGCTTGAGGCAAGAAAAAGCAAACTATTAAAAGATGATTTCGAGCGAAGTGGGAATTCATGGTTAAAGTATAAATTATGAATCCATGATTGAGGTTGATGATGACAGCCTTAGTGGGACGTAAAATTTAAGCTGATATGCTCTTTGTTTTTTCTTGTATAATTCAGTTGTACTCTTTTTGGCTCTAAGGTGGAGATGAGATATGAGAAATATGGATAAAAAGGTTCCTGAAAAAACACGGCTAGCTGCATTATTGAGTGGCAATGTAATAAAATATTAAGAGCGGAAGGCGACGTATGAATATGAATAAGGATGCTTGGCACATATTGATATCCTTACTTGTAATTAGTTTTGGGGTTTTGGATCAATTTTCGAAAACTTGGGCGTATGGGAAGCACTCAAAGTCCCACTTCGTAGTTGGTGGCTTTTTATTTATTTTTTGAAGGCTTTTTAGTAGTTGTTTCTTTGTGCTTTTAGTATGTGTTTGCACTGACATGGCCATTGGGCTACACTCCACCGTCCTGGTGGATCCCATTCCCTACATAATTTTTAAGGTAGCAAGTGGGAATTGCCATCCACTCATTGCGTAAAATCTCTCTCTCTCTCTCTCTCTCTCTCTCTCTCTCTCTCTCTCTCTGAGTCTGTGTTGATGCGTCGTATGTGGCCCCTCAGTCTCAAGCAGTGGAGCTGTGATGCTCATCAATGGAGTCTTACTCATCGTTGGGTCCTGCTGCAACATCTGTTCCCTGCAATTAGAACCAAAAGGTGAACCACTATTACTCCCTGCTTTTGACCAACTGTTGAACCGATATTAACTAATGAATCCTTCCCTATCTATTTTATATAATGTTTGAAATATTCGTGGTATTAATTTTTCTTCCTCAAGAATTTTGACTTGTATCCAATGATTCTTAGGAACAGTAAATAAGATAATATTGCATCCGAGCGTTATCACTTACGTGTAATCAATTAAAATAAAGAGTGGAATAAAGGATCCTTGACCTTGCTTTTCCAATGTAAACGTGACGAATCTTTTCTGTGACTGAAAGGGACAAAGCTCCGATTCAGCCTACGTCTCACCCTCCCGCTCACCTAGATACCAAGAGCAGTGCATTTATTCAATTTCTAAGGTCCAATTTATCTAATTTATTACGTTTTTTTTGTCGATGCGCCCAGGATGAAGTACGTTTCGATATAATAACAATATCCAGTTGATTGAAATTGATTCAAACTTGCTAATTTAAGAATCTCATGGAGGGTACATGTTTAATTAACTAACCATTTTATTGCATGCAGGTTACCTTTTCGTTTTCTCATTATTTTAGTGGACGCTTGGCTACAGTAACTACACCGTCTCCTTTATCTGGCGTCTATGAAATGTCTATTTCTTTTCTTTTCTTTGGGAATTAAAAAATGGGAGAATTGATGAAAAGAACCAAGTTAAATGAAAAATTGTGTTCAAGGATTAAGTTGAATTTAAGGATTAAATTAAATATCTTATTCATTAAATAATTTAAACAAATGATTGAAATATCCTTCTATTTAAACCAATGAAGTTGAAGGGAAAAAAAAGGTTGCTTGTTATGCACCTTAAGTTAGATTTCTTACACCTTAAATTTAATCCCTTGCACCCAAGGTAGAAACATTACACTCTAAGTCAAAAGCCTTACATTTCAAGCTAGATTCCTTGCACTCAAGCAATAAACTTTACATCCTAAGCCAGATTCCTTGCATCTAAGTTAGAAGCTTTGCATCCTAGGATTGAATTTTGTGCAAGGCTTAGGGTGCAACGCCTCTAACTTGGGTGTAAGAGATCTGGCTTAAGGTGTAAGAGATTTGACTTGGGTGCAAGGCTTTTGACTTGAGATGTAAGGTTTTTGACTTGAAGTGCATGTATTATGGCTTAATTATAAAGCTCTTGACTTGGGTGTAAATGCTTTGGTTTAAGGTGTAAGGAATCTTGCTTAAAGTGCACGTGTTTAGCAAGCAACTTTTTTTTTTTTCAATTTCGTTGGTTTAAACAGAAGTGCATTTCAGTCATTTGTTCAGATTGTTTAATAAATAAAATATTTAATTTGATTTTTAAATTTAACTTGATCTTTAGACACAATTTCTCTTTTAACTTGATCATTTTTGGGGCGCAAGGCCTCTCCCTGACTTTTTCTCCTTTTCTTCTCCATTTCTTACATCCTAATCATTTTTTTTGTGTGGCTTTTATTTGACCATTCAAAATGCTAGTTGTAGACTGTAGTCCACTACTATCATTGCCTACACAATTTGCTCTAAAAAAGGGTTTTGGAATTTTTAATTAAAATAAACACAACATTATTTAAAAAAATGCTTTTACATTTTTTTCAAACTATTTCATTTAAAATTTTATTCTTGCGTTTTAAATTAAAATTATTATGAATTTAATATTTGATTTTTTATCTTTATTGGATTATTTATAAATAAAAATAAAAATGGAGAAAATATTAATGTATATATATCAATATATTATTTTAAAAATTCAAAATACATATTATTTATAAATTCAAAAACTGTTCCTACCAAAAAAAAATTAAAACTGTTTCAGTGATTAAATTTATAAATTGATTGAAAAATGTAAAAATTGGTTTAGTTTTTAAGTTTTTTTAAAGGAAGGAACAGTTTTTGAATTTATAAACAATATGTATTTTGAAGAATTTTTTTGGTCCTATTTATGAGTCATGTCATTAAATTTTTATTATAAATTTTTTTTACCCTCCATTGAATGTTAGGGAGAGAAAATATGTTATTGAAAGACTTAATAGGGACAAAATTGAGAGTTTATTAAATTTTAAGATAATGTTAATGAGTTTGAAATTTTTCTTTAATACTGACAAAAAATGTTAAAAGTGATTTATAAATAAAATCAGAATCATAAATGGAAAACACAAGATCATATATTACTAGAACAATGTTGCATCAGAAAAACGTAAAAATTAGCTTATCCACTGAAATAGTTTTTAATTTTTTTGGTAGGAACAATTTTTATATTTATAAATAATACATACATACATACATACATACATACATACATATATATATATATATATATTAATTTTTTAAATAATAAATTTATATATGTGCATTCATATTTTCCCCATTTTAAATTTTTTATTCATAAATAATACAAGAAAGATAAAAAATAAACATTACAAGATTAAATTCATAATAATTTCAATTTGAAATGCAAGGATAAAATTTTAAATTAAGTAGTTTGAAAAAATGTAATATAACATTTTTTTCAAAATAATGCTGTGTTTATTTTAATTAAAAATTTCAAAACCTTTTTTTAAAGCAAATTGTTTAGGTAATAACGATAGTGGATTACAACAGATATTTTGGATGGTCAGATGAAAGCCACACAGAATCACACAAAATGAACGGTTATGATGAAGGAAATGGAGGGGAGAAGGAGAAAAGGTGAAAGGAGAGACCTCACACTTAGTCTCATCTGCACATCTTGAAATGCATGCTGTTTGAGCCTTGAAATTTAGTAAATCATGTGTAATGTTCTTTTACTTGGTGTGTCTTTTTTATTTTTGCAAATTTTTTAAAATAATTATTTACAAGCTAGGACAACTGGCTCTAAGAATAGCTAATAGTCCATCCCGCGTGTAAATTTTGCAAATAGGCTGGCTCGGATATGTGTGTTGCCTTTTTTTTTTTTCATTCAATGGGTAGGTTGTGGCGTAGGGTCTCTCCCTTTTTCTTTTCTTCTTTTCCTCTCCATTTTTTTGATTTTAACCGTGCAATTTGTGTAGCTCTTATCTCACCATTCAAATTAAAGTATCAGTTGTAATACTATTATTATCTAAACAATTTATCCTTAAAAAAACTGCTTCAATTCGTGCATAAAAAAACAAATCTGGAATTTTTTTAATTAAAATACCAGTGTCATTTGAAAACAAAAACAAATGCTATTACATTTTTTCCAAACCATTTAGTTTAAAATTTTATTCTTGTGTTTCAAATGAAAATTATTATAAATTTAATCATTATTTTTATCTTTATTGTATTATTTATAAATAAAAATATTAAAAATGGAGAAATATTAATGTGCATATATAAGTATATTATTTATAAATTGTGAAAAAATGTTCTTACCAAAAAAATTAAAACTGTATCATTGAATAAAACTAATTTTTACCTTTTTCAATCAATTTATAAATTTTAAAAACTGTTTCAGTGAGGAAAATATTAATGTGTATGTATATAAAAATATTATTTATCAATGCAAGATCATATGTTACCGAAAGAACATTGCATCAGAAAAACATAAAAATTGTTTTACTCAATACTCACTAAAACAGTTTTTAATTGTTTTGGTAGGAACAGGTTTAAAAATTTATAAATAATATATTTTTTAATCTTTTAAATAATATATTTATATGTATACATTAATATTTCTCCATTTTTAATATTTTTATTTATAAATAATACAATAAATATAAAAATAATGATTAAATCTATAATAATTTTAATTTGAAATGCAAAAATAAAATTTTAAACTAAATAGTTTGAAAAAAATGTAATAGCATTTGTATTTTAAATGACACTGTTCATTTTAATGAAAAATTCCAGAATTGTTTTTTCATGCACGAACCAAAGCAATTTTTTTAAAGATAAATTGTTTAGATAATAATGATGTTAGATTACAGTTGATACTTTAATTTAAATAGTGAGATAAGAGCCATACAAATTATACCGTTAAAATTAAGGAAATGAAGAGGAAAAAGAGAAAAGGGAAAGGGAGGGATCCTGCGTCCGTTATTTTTGCCAATTTTCCCTTAAAAAACTGAATGAACTCTCTCTCTCTCTCTCTCTCCCTCTCTCTCTCTCTCTCTCTCTCCCGATGAAAAATGGCGTATCTAAATTGAACATTGCTGGTTTATGCTCGCGATTAGACATTGCACGCCTCATCTGTCTCTTGCTCAGCATCTTGGCCAACAAGTAGTATCAAAGTATTTGGTATTTGTCGTGGCGCTGTAATCAGTGCATCAGATTTCATCACATGGATAAATCAAATCCTGTTTCAAATCCCAATTTTTCTGAAAGTTACCTTTGCTGCACGTAATGAATGTAGAGCCCACAAGAAATCAAAGTCGGTCAACATGCTACTGTGCCTTGATATTTCCACGGCTTAATCTTGTTTTGGCAAGACAGTATTGGACGGAAGCTCAATGTTCCTTCAGATATCTTTTAATTAAAAAAGTAATCACATTTAAAATATTGTTGAATATTAAATATAAATATTTTTTATAATAAAAATTTTAATTTTAATTTATTAAATTATAAAAAATTAACCTCTTTTATTAGACTTTATTTTTATTGGTTGAAAGCTCAATTTTGAAGCACCTAAATAGGATGGAAATAAGCCAAGTTCTTAATAGAGCCCTCTAACCTAACCTACTTTAAATTTAATCTAATCTATTTATTAAATAAGTTGAAGTTAGGCTTATTTCTTCAAAGCCTAATCTACAAGCATAACAAGTCAGCCTATTTATATACATACATATACATATACATATACACATACATACATACATACATATATATATATATATATTATCTACTATATCACAAACGCATTGGTTTCACTATTTAATTTTTAATCAATATATTCTTTTTTATTTTTAATTATATTTTCAATCATATTAGATTTATATATTAATCTTAATGTTCTTATTTTATTGTTATATTATATTGTAGTTGGTGAGTCATTTCAATTATTATATATTATAATTGATAAATCACGTTATATATTATATATTATAATAGTTTTAAAATATATTTGAGATGTTTAAAATTAAAATGCGAGCCTATTTAAAAAGCTTGTTTTTAAGTAAATTTTTAAATAGGCTTCAAGTCAAGCCAAACTTTAGGTATATTCAAGTCTAAGTAATAAAAAAAGCCTTATATAAATTTTAGGTTAGGCTCAAGTATCTGATTTACCTTATAAGTTTAGGCCTATTTGATCAAAATCTAACTCGATCTAACTTATTTCCAATCTTACACCTAAGTTTTGCCAAATGCAAACTCACTATTGGTAACTCAAGCAAATTGATAAATGTATGGTTCGATTAAGTAAAAGGCACGCAGTTTCTTTTAAGAAAAATTTAGTTTAGACTGCTTGAACAAACATAATAAAAAAAAGAGCCTCCTAAAGTTTAAAATTTCACTGCAAATGAAAGATAGTGAAATGAAATTAAAATAAAAACTAAAATTATCCCATTATCCTTAATGGCTTAAGCTTGTTAAAACTTAAAAGACACTTGTAAATTTTCCGTACTAAAATTATTTATTTCTTATACTGAAGTTGTTAATTTTCTTACAAGAGTTATTCGTATAAATAGTTTCACTTAATTTTATTTTTAGTACTGTTATCATGATAAAAAAATTATAAAATTTTACATATTGTAATTATTTATTACCTATGTTGAAGTGATTATTTTTATAGAGAAGTTGTTTGTGCACATTGTTGTGAAATTTTAAACATTAAAAAAACTCTCTTTTTTATTATATTTGGTCAGGGGTTTAAACTGAAAAATTCCCTTTTTTAAATAAGATTAAGAATTAAAATGTATTTTTGACCAAAAAAAGAATTAAAATGTATGAAAAAATTAGCACTAGAAATCTTTGCTTCAATCAAACTCAATAATAATCAAATTTGATCCTACGGTAAACAATATTAAAAAAATTGTTTTTTTAAGGTACATATAATCGTTTTCCATTGGTACGAGAAAAAATAATTTTCTTGGTCGCTTTCGTGGATGTAAATTGGCTATCCTTGTTAAAGGGGTAAAAAAAGGTTTCAATAGTCCGACGTAAAAGAAAGACGATAAAAAAAAAAAATGAAAATTAGTTGCTATGTAAATTTTCAGAGGAGAGAGTTCATCCTTTTACAGCGAGAAAATACATTACATTTAATTCATTCTTAAAAAAATAACAAATAATTTTTTTTAAAATAAAAAATGATAATTTAATTTTGTGAGATGCAATAATCTCTTCTAAGTTTTAAGGATTTATCTATCAATAACTTTTAAAATGAAATGACATTTTTGACCTAGAAAAGGAAAATCAATCCCAAATCATCCTTTTTCTTGTTTAAGCAAAAGCTTTCTTCTTCCAGCAGCCTCACCGTCATGGCGTCATCAACTCATCGTCCATTCGTCCACCATGCTGGAGAGAGTCCTCGCTCTGCGACGCACTACCCCTCACCTGACAACTCCGCGGCCTCCGCCTCTGCCTCCGCCGACGATGACGAATCCAAAGTCAGGAAGCACCACCGTTTCTTCTTGCAAGTCGCGACCAGGGCCTCCAATCACCTCTCCCGATTGAGTTGTCTTGGCTCCAACTGATTTTTTTGCCATCTCGTTGCTTCCCCTCCTCTGATCGGTTTCTTCCTTGCTCTTTAGTTCGAGTGGCTTAATGTGTGCGTCCTCTTCTTCCCCATTTTCTCGGGTCGGTTTATTGGCTTCGGATGTTCTTGAATCCGATTTCGGAGCTCTCAACGTGCCCTGGTGTAAGTACCTGAACTAATATGTTTGGCTTTTCCCAATTTCGAATCTTTTTTTTTTTTTGAGTTTTTGATGTTCATGTTACTGGGTTTTGCAGTACGCTTAGATTGAGGGAAAATGCTACCTTGGGAAGTGTTTCGTTTCTTCCAGGGCTCAGTGAATTAATGAATTGAATGTTCATAAACTGGAAGAAGGTCTGTCTATCATTTACTCGTGTTATTTTTATTCTTGAAGTCTTGAATTTGAATTACTTGTTCTCTCCTCCAAGAGAGAGAGCTTTTGCAAAGGCTTAAACAAGAAAGCGAAGATGAAGCGCAAATGGCCAAGAGAAAATTTTGAAAGCACAAGTTGATTGGATTGTCTTTCTTGTGTTTTATATAAGAGTAAAAATATCATTTCATTCTAAAATTTAATAACAAAAAAATCCTTTAAAAGAAATTATCACATCTCACAAGATTAAATTATCATTTTTTTATTTTAAAAAGATTTTTATGTTATTTTTTTTTAAAAATTTTTTTCATTTTTCATTCATTTTCATTAAATAAATCAAAGACCAATCAGTTTACAAATTGAACAGCCATGTAGATTGTAGAATATAACTATTTAACTAGAGCTAGGAGATTGCTAAAGACCACCAGGTGTTTGCTTTGGCGGAATCCATTGTCGCCGAAGAACCAGAGGAAGAATATCTTAATGACAGAGCACATTAGCATGATGCGACATAAATAGCCAGCCCACGCAATAGAGTAATAGCACAAAACGAAGGGTTTATCCAACCTCAGCGAACGATGAGGAAGAAAAATTACAAGCAGCAAGTCATGTGATTAATAAGAATTTCAATCAAGGACCATAAATGTAACTTAATTATTAATGAGTCCCAAAAAAATATGAAGTTTCAAGTCAGTCCAAGAGAATAGTGAAAATAACTTTAACAATAAAAAAAATTAAAATATTTTTTCTTATTAAATTTGTCCGATACAAAATTATTAATTATTAATTTTTTTATTTTACTTGTTAATTTATCAATGAATTATAAATTACATTAATTAACCTATCAATAATTATATAAGATTTGAACATTAATTGTTCAATCACAAGTAACTACATCAATTGTTAAATTGATAATTTTATTAATTAATTTACTAATATTAATTATAAATTATTAACAAATCTTGTAATTTATAATTGATATTGGCGCATTAACAATTGATGTTACTGTTTATCTGAAAAATTGATGTAATTTTTAACTCATTAATAAATTAATAAGTGAAATAAAAAAAATTAACAACTATTAATTTTATATCTTCAACAAAATTAATAAGTAAATATATACTTTAATATTTTCATCGTTAAAATTATTTTTACTTTAATCCTCTTAAACTAAATTAAAATTTTAAATTTTTTAAAACTCATTAATAATTAAATCACATCTATAATCCTTAGTTAAAATTCTCCCACGATCTTACCACATACCTTGTCGAATCAATTTTTGTCGGGGGAAAAAACCCGGGGGAGTGGGAACGTTAATCTCTTCTTTCAAAACTAGAATTTACACTAAAAACGCTTTTCCAAAAAGCACTTTTGGACTTTCATACGAAGACCCATCCAAGAAAGCCACTACAGCGTGTACGTTAAAGCATTGATGGAGGCAAAAGATGACAGACATGGGGTATGACAAAAAGATGCTAAATGGTGGTAGGAAAGCATAAGCAGGCCGTGATTCTTAATTCAGAAAGTAGAGGCTGTGTATTAAAGCACCTGAAAAATAAAGAAATGAACCAAAGCAACAATAAATAAACTGATAATTAATTTCCCAACATAGGAAGGATCTATCATTCACACCCAACGAGAGGCAAGATGTAAAATAACAATAGAAGCACTACTGACATAGTCGTTTGGTAAAATTCCTTGGTCAAATTTGCTGCCTGAAGAATGTCTTCCCTCAGAGCGTTACATTAAGAACCACAGCATGCAGATTTTTGGGCAGCTTGAGCAGCCCCTGCTCCCTGGTCTGGTTGGTTAATCTTGATTGTCTGGGGCTGCAAACAATCGAGTGGAAACTTAAATGATGACGACTAAGTAATTAAATCTAGTCGATTAATCCAAAATGCACTTCCAATAATGGTCAAAAAAGAAATCAAATGATAATCCCAGGATAAGGGAAGCAGTTAAGATAAAAACCTCAGCCTTTGAATCAGTATCTGCAAGTCTTTGTTTGATGTCCCGAGCTATTGAAAAGAAGACCTCCTCCACATTCAAATTTGTTTTCGCACTCTGTAAGAACCAAACCCCAGCATCACATCAAGATCAACAAATACATGCATGCAAGTTCAACCGGAGCAGCAAAAGCAACTTACAGTCTCAAAGAACTTTATGCCGTATTCATCTGCCAGGGCTTGACCTTTTGAAGTTGGTACAGCCTAAGGGAAAGAATTGGAAATTAAGAAGAGCATGAAAAGCCATATATGTGCATGCGACACGGGTACAAGCATACCCAAAAAGACAGAGAGCGTAAGGAAGGGGCCAGACCCTTTTGCTTTCATCCATGTCTGCCTTGTTACCCACCAGTATCTTGTTAACATTGTCAGAAGCATGTTGCTCAATGTTACGGATCCAATTCCTAATGTCTGGGCATGAGACCAGTCAAAATGCCACACTTAGAAGAACTTAAAATCCATTCAAAGCACTTGAACTTGAAGTTATGCAAAATGCTCAACTTGAAGAATTGAAGTTTAACAAAATTAATACATTTCTATCAACACATACAAAGTTGAAGGGAAAACTAAAAGAGGAAGAAGAAATTACTGTTAAAAGATGACTCATCAGTGACATCATACACAAGCAAAATGCCCATGGCTCCACGGTAATAAGCTGCAAAAGAAGAACTAAATACTCGTGACAGAGGATTAACATATTAGGCATATGGAAGGATAACAGAACTATGGAATAATGGACATGCAAATGTGATAGACAGAGCATCAGTTATTCTGTTAAATTCCTGAATCGCATACAATGTTAAAATAAAACCAAAAAACATTGAAGGATTTATGCTTAGAAATCAAGTAATTGTGGAACAACGTTGAAGATTCAAATATTAATACCCAGAACTTATCAACAAGGCCTAAGGCCAAATGTGCGTGCGTGTAGAAGGTTCCATATACAGTCAGACAAATGAAGCATTTTTAATGATGTGAGAGGCACTTGACTCAGCACCTAAGGCGCCATTCATGGCCAACACCTCTCAAACCATAAAAGCCACTACCTTCAACAAGGCATGGTAAGGTGAGCACCTTTGACACCTTTTCTGTACTTCCAGGCTTGCCCTTTCAGGGCCTCAATATTTGCAGGCAACAGGAAAAGTGTCAGCTTACACAAAACCAATCTAAAATATAAAATAGTTATAGGATGAAATGGGAAGCTATAAAATCCAACCTTAGAAGCCCTGTCCAGCTCAACCTTAAAGATTTAAGGCAATGGGGTAAAATAGTTATTCCTATTTCAAAAGATTATGTGTGTGCCATATTTTTCCAGACTTTTGTCAAATGTTATTCCATATTTACATGGATCTATCCTTCGTTTATATAGGACTTTCTTTTTCACTCTAGCACCTAGTACTTGTCTTAGCACCCTTTTTTACATCTTTCGCCTAAGGTATTTTAAAGCCAGAAATCAGTTAAAAAACTTAATATTTTAACTCTCTTAGTTTCTCTCTATCAGTAATAGTCAACAGATACCTGCTACAATCAAAGACAATAAAATTTCTCTAGTGCTATCAAGCAAGTTGTCAAGTTCCACCAACAAAAGCATCATCTGAAAAACCTCTTCAATATTTGACTATTACATAATCTTCATTAAAGGAATGCTGCTTAAGGATAGAAAAAATAATAATTAAACTTGACTACCCAGATACCTATTCCAAGATAGCTATTCAATCAGAACTAAAGAACAAAGTCATCAATTTTATTACCATCCTAGTAGTGATAGGAAAAAGAATAGTAGTTTCTACTTAAAAAGGAGTTAGCTAAACAATTAACATCTCAACAAAACAAATTCAAAATGAGTTAGCTCCTATTAGTGATAGTTCTAAGCAACTTTTGACTCATACACCTACTAAGACCTGAGAATACTTATATAGTCCACTACAGAAGTTTAAGCTAGATAAACAAATGGATCATATAAGAACACCAGTTACATATATTGAATAAGACCTTAATCTCAAACACTGACCAGTGGTAATTGTTCGAAAACGCTCTTGGCCCGCAGTATCCCATATTTGCAATTTAATTCGCTTGCCATCAAGCTCTATTGTCCTTATTTTGAAGTCAATGCTGAAGAAGAACAATCCATACCAGTACTCAACTAACAGCTTCTCACAATAAGAAAGAAACAACAGCAGCAAAATGATGAAGGTGATTAGAGAAATAAAGGCTCATACCCAATGGTAGTAATGAAACTGGTTGTAAAAGATCCATCTGAGAAACGCAACAAGATGCAACTTTTACCAACACCTGCCAATATGAACAAAGCAATCAAATTCAAAGATAACTCTGTAATATATGTTCCTCTAGTTGATAAATGCAACAAGTACAGGATAAGTCTCAAGGGCCATCACTGTTTTATGACCTCCAAATCAGTAATCAGTAAAAGAGTTATAAGCGACTACTGTAATTCGATTGCCAATAAGATTTTGCCTCCATTTTACCACAAATAATTTTTATGACTCCCGCCTTATAGTTCAAGGGTAAAGTAATACATTATAATGCAGTGAACAATAAGCAGTAGTGGGAACCACCATCTTAAATTTCAAGATGAAAATCACAAACAAAGATGCGTCCATCATTTAAAAAAAATGAGGAAGAAGCTACGGCTGCTAACAAAACCTATGGGTTATTCCCTTCTCTCGCATGAGGAAGTCGTAAATCACAATCCAGTGAAAATGCACGGCGAATGATTAAATCAGGAGCAAACAACGCCCTAATCGTTCTCATATCCATGATCCCAATATAATTAGGGCGGAGAGAAAGAAAGGGAAGACATTCCGAGATTAAGATAGTAGCACCACCATAAAAAAAAAAAAAAAGGATCAAATCTCGGCAGAAGACTGCAAGGTTTTCCAACACTAACCAAACACATCGATACAAGGAACGAAAATTCGAAGGACTTAAAGAAAAAGTGCAGGAAATGTTACCGCTATCGCCGATCAGGA